AACGATACTGCTAAGTGATAATACGGTCTCTTCACAAATTTATAGGTCCAGAGAATATACAGAATAGAATTAATACTTAGTAAGGTGCGAGCAGACACAGGTTATATGATTCTACTTGATGGGAGCACTGATATCTCAAGTTATTATACATTCAATTTATGTCAAATGTATATGACAATTTTTATGAAGGATTTATTCTGTTTAAATTTAAGCTAAAATATAACTGGTTTGAGGACCTTGATAGAATTGGAGGAATACTGTCTGAAAAATATAAATTAAACCGGTAAATTGTAATAGAATTGCAAGTGATTCAGAAGTAAACATGACCAGGAAACATAGCAGAGTAATTTCCAATGTTATTAGAAATCACCACCTACATTGCTACTTGGAAGCACTGTTCACACACTGTTCATACCTTTGGCATCCTAAGACTTCTACTGAATCTCTTGAAAACAAATGTAGTGATAATTGTTTAACTTCATTAAGAGAACCTTTACGTTTTGTTACGTTTTGTTCACATCGGAACCATAACTGACAGGGGTGGTCATCCACCAAATTCTTCTCCCTCCCTCTGCCTCCGGAAGATATCTTTGGGGGGGGGGGGGCTTGAAGGCCCAGATAAACTACATTGTATCCAAGTGGGTCTCTGCAGCCTTCACCCATGGAATAGAGAAGGGATTTGTGTGACTTCTATCACGTCTATCTGACGCCTGGGCTCATATACTCTCTATTTGGCTTCCTATCAGCTAGAATGCAACCTGCCTAGGACCCACTGCGGGCGAACAATGCCTTCCAGGATGGTGGAGCAGTGAGATGTAAGTAAGGTACATCGTCCTCAAATGATCTCCAGGAACTGCTATATGCTGACCTGCCCTGGGACTCAGGACGTAGTTTAAATGATAAATAAAAGTCCATCTATGTTCCGTAAACCACTGTCTTGTTGGGTCGTTGTTAAATTAGCTTAGCCCTTCCATGAACTAATATATGTATATGTTATATCATACTGGAATTATTGGTTGTTATGAGGAAAATATTAATTAAGCTATATGAACTCAGGAATGGGAGTCACATTTTTGTTTAAAAGCTATCTCATTTGGCTAACATTTTTGGAGATGGTATTTTAGCAACAAAATTGGCACATATAACTTAACGTTTTTTAATAACTGGAGTTGGATCTACGGGAAAAAAAGTAACACTATATTTCAAGATGCTGAATATATCCAACAGTTACAAAATACATTTTAAGTAATCACCATGGTTACTCTATGTTCTCAACATTTTGCAGCACAGGAAGAGAGCATCATTAGTAAAGACACCCTGAATGGTATAAAATTAAAGATATTAATGATATTACAAGTCTCTGTGTCAAACTGCAAACATTTCCAATAAAGACCTTTGAAATACCAAGAAAAAGCACTTAAAGAAAAGATCTATTTGTTTTTCAAAATCCTGAATCCATAATTGTGTTAACGTTGATGCCCAAAGAAGAAAACTACTTACCAATGCTTTGTGATTCAAATACACTGAAGAATTTATATAAATTTATCACCATTTTAGCTGAGGATTAAAGAAGAACCTGCTGAAATTTGTAATTTCACTTGCTAAGTAGAAGTATATTAATAGCATGCATGGCAACTTATTTGTGTGAACCAGAATTTTTAACCAAAATAACTGAGACTGTGGGAAGGAATAGACATCAAAGCATGTGGCACCTGGGTTGCGCATGTAGCATTATCCTCCTGTCTCCAGCCTGGAATGAATTTAAGAGCAGGCAAGCAAGCCCACCACAATGAATCAAATCCTATTTAATAGTAACTCTCTTCTCTTTAACAGTAAGTATCCTTTTATAAATAAACACTTGGTTTCAGGGGCACCTGGCTGGCTCAGTCAGTAGAGCAGGAGACTGTTGATCTCGAGGTTGTGAGTTCCAGCCCGCATTGGGTGTGGAGGCGACTTAAACATTTTTTTGTTTCAGTTTTTTAATCTACCTATACATGTATCTCTGCATACAGTGGGTGGATACAAAGGGTATTTTCTACGGACCTGATGTTTGAAAAAAGTGTTTTGATGATTCTGCTCTCACTTTCCTTCATAGCCAACATTTAGAGCGGGTTGTTTACACCTGTGTTTCTCTCGGCTCTGAATCTACTGCAACCAGACTCTGCCCTCGTTATTCTTCTTGGACAGGCTTCCTAACTAAACTCTCACATCCATTTGATCCTTTTCTGTATTTATCTCTGTCCACTCTATGGCCATTGCCTGTATACTACTTTTATTTCTTTTTTCTACCACTTAAAATAAAACACGTTGCAATTTTAAAAAGAAAAAAAAATGTTTATTTTCCTGTGCGTGTATGTTTATTTTTTAAAACTTTTATGTACATCCACACCAAATGTTTAAGCAACAAAACTGAGGTCATTTAGTGCATGGATGTATGTAGCTTTTTATGACCTTCTTAGTTCACTTGGCTATGCAGTAGCAACCACTTTTCATGTCATTCAATATTCCTCTCCCACATTATTCTTAAAGGCTATATCGTATGCTGCTTTATGGATACATACATCATGGGTTATTTACCCATTTCTCTAATGTTGGACTGTAGGCAGTTTTCAATTTTTAAAAAAAAATGATTGAACAGCACACTGAAATCCTTGTCAGAAAATATTTACCCACTTCTATAATCACTTGCTTCCGATGAATTCCTAAAAGTACGATTGCTGGATTGTAGCCATTTCTGTGCTGTGTTCCCATCCAAAAATCCCTCTAGGATTACCCTTCCTCTAGCACCCACAGTACGAGAGGATCCAGTTGGCTAGCTCCTTACTAATACTGGGCAACAGCATTTACAATCTTTCAGCCAATTTGATTGATTTTTTAAAAATCACATTTTCTTTCAATGTTTGTGCTCTTTTGATCAGTAGGTGCTTGAACACTTTTCATAGGTTATACTTAGTTGCATTTCTTTTGCACTGACTTCATAATCACTGCCTATTTTTTTAGAGCGTACAAGTGCATCTGTTTCTTAATACTCTGTAAAAGCTTTTTTACAAAGCTATTTAAACTTTATATCTCTGAAATGACTTTTCATTTTAGTTTGTAGCGTAAGTAAATTTGCTTTTAATCATAAAGATAATAAATACTTTTTTTAAAAAAAATGAAGGGGACCGCAACTTCCTTCCTGGCATCCTGCTCTCCCCATTCCAGCCACTGCCTCCTGCAACCTTTGCCAAACCCCAGGCATCAACCATTCTCAATACCTGAAGGCTTTCCAATCCTGTTTCTACCAGGCGGCGCTGTCCTGAGTTCCCGCCCATAAATGAAACACCCTGTGGGTATCTCATTATCGGCTGCAACCTGAATACGTTCAAAACTGAGCCAAACCCTTCTCTTCTTTAACCTGGAAGAGGGGGCCACCCACCCTCCCATTTTCTCAGAGGAGAAACCTGGAAATCATCCCAGATGCTAACCACCTCAATCTGTCAGTAAACGGTACAGCTTCAACTCCTTAAATATCTCTTGCTATATTTTCCTCTATTCTTTCCACCTACCATTGGCTTATTTCTAGATTACTGTTCTCCCGGCTGCCAGTTACTCCTTTGCCATCCCCCCCCCCCCCCCCCCCCCCCCCCCCCCCCGACTACCACTACAGTTACATTTCTAAAGAAAAACGAATATGCTTAAAATCCCTTCTTGTTCCTAGTCACGGTGTTCACAACAGGGAAACAATGAGTTGCCAAATGAGATTCCTGCTTTCCCTCTTACCTATTCCAGGGCCTCCAGAGTGAAGGACATTAAGTTACCGAGAGAGCGTGCTCTCTCGGGATCTGAGGCCCTGGCCAATGGTGCTTTCCTTCCACATCCGGCCACCCGGTCTGTTTCCCAAGTTCAGCCTAAGGGTTCTCCATTGCGGAGGCTCTTCCTGTCCACCCTCTCCCACCCCCACCAAAGTTGGATACCTGTTTGGGCC